TAATGGAAAACTCATCATGAGCTACGAACATTACCATACCTTCACGCAAAATAGATCTAGTTGTTTGGAACTCGCACTAGAAGAACCAAATTGGATTTGTGCTTGATTAATTTTCAAACCTCACTACATAAAGATAGAGTCTATTTAGATTGGTCTTGTCAATACCCTTTTGCCAAACTAACTTTTCTTTATAGTATTTATATTTTGCTTTATGTTGTCGCTCTCCATCTACTTGTATCCATTGCCACTAATTCTTAGTGACCACAACACTTAACATTTTGTCTTGTTAATCGATGTGTACTGCTTCAATCTATTGTCACGGTTTAATCATCTTTGTAAACATCATTCTCATCAACTGGATATGTACTCCCATGGTCATCACACAAATTATCAAGAATTAAAATATCATTTAGACCACTAAAATTCTGATCAAATGAGGAGTAATCTCTGGAGTGTTGGAAGCATCAAAGAGTTTGTTGAACTCACTAGTTTCCAACAACATGTTTTAATCCATTAGGACTAATATATGGAAGAAAGATGTAGAATAAAAGAATTTATACTAGAATTGGATAGCAATAGCTCAAGTAAATTTAGAGATATTAGATTACACTATAAAAGGGCTACTATAGATATAAACAAGATTGTTACGGCCCACGAGCCACAAGCTGACTTGTGAAAAATAAAATGTATTCAACTATGTTCATGCTCATCTAAAAATGAGTCCTTGAGCCACCCATGAGCCAAGTCGAGCTTCCGAGCAGCTCAATCTGTCCGCCATTCCTAACTGTGGGAGGCTAGGTCCCCTAGTTTTTCTAATCTATTTTTGTTTTTTTTCCTATTTTTATTAAAAAAATCACTTAGAAACTCAATATAATACCTCAAAGTTTTATCATATTTTTGTATTTAATTATACTTCAAAATGAATCAAATTGACAAATCTAATAGAATTTTGAGATTGAATCGATGCCTAAAAATTAGTAATTACAATCTTAGCTTCTTTTGTGGCTTGTTATTTTGAACTCGTCTTTTAATGATTTTTTAAACGTTGAAGTTATTTTACGAAATTTGCCATCGAGATTCCGAAACAGTACCAATAACCTAGTCAGATGAGTGAATAACATATCACAATAATAAGTTAAAAAGTTAATGCAAAATAGGAATTAAATGATATAAAAATTGGTTTATTACATTCAAATTTAACCATATTTGGTTCATCATTTTGGACTCACTATTAACAGTTCTCAGTCCAAAAGAAGCATTGCAATTTTTTTCATGAATACTTCAATATCGTACCAAGAATATATCCTGACAAATCAAAAAGAATTTTGCTAGTTATACAACTAGGATTGATGACGTCCTCATAGGAGGGGGGTCAACGATTTTTTTATTCATCGTCGGCCACCCTCCCATATGTGTGGTTGTCAATCCCGATTATACATATAACAAGGCCGAATAAAAAATGTAGCTCGAAAATAGGTCCAAAAAAGTTTTCAAAATGAAAATTTCGAAAGGGAAAAAAAATTCGGATGATTAAATTCATTTCTTGTGATTAGGCTTGGACAAAAATTCGAAAAATCGACCAAATCAGTTTAGGCCGATTTGACACAGGTACTTGGTTTGATTTTTTTTTTTTTTTTTAAAATAAAACCATGATAGGTTAGTTTAGCCATGGTTTGAAACTTCGAACCGTTGGTTAACCAAATAGACTTAACCCACTTAGGGTCCTTTTGATTGTAAGAATTGAATTTGGATGGAAATAAAACAAATTTTGGAGAATTGAATTGTCTAGAATTTATTTTTCTGTGAATTGTTAATTAATGTGTTTGATTTGTATAATTTTTCACTTGAAAAATGTTGAAATGTTGGATTTTTTGGTGTTTATTTGACTTTGTTTTCCATGAAAATTGTCGATTAATAGGATAAAATTTTTTACAATTGTGAATAAAATTTATTTCCATTGCTGAAAATAAAAAAAATTAAAAATTAAAAAAAAAAATAAAGTTAGAATTCCCAATTCCCACCATTTGGGAATTGATTTTCCATAGTTTTGAGGAAAAGGGATCACATGAGGTTGGGGTGGGGTGGCATGGGGGGGACCAATTGCCCGGAAAATCTAAGCAATCGAACGACTAAAAAAGTGGAAAATGGAAAACATCCATGGAAAAGCCACCAAATCAAACATGCCCTTATTTACTTTAGCTCTATCTCGATTCATTTCAATCTATGATGTTGTCAGTAAGTAATAACACTGAAATTTTTCTTTCATAAGTTCATTATATTATATTTAACCTCTTTTCTCCATTCAGGTAATCAAGCTACATAATACATAGAATAGCAACAAAATTCTTAAGTTTTCTAGTTGATCTATGTCTATTAACATGATTTTATTTTTTATTATAGATTTTGTAATATAAAGTTATTTAATTATTTTAGTTCTTGTAGTATAAGTGGCCCTAAGATTTGGACTTTTTTTTTTTTTTGAAAAAAAAATCAATTTGAACTAAAAGTTAAAACCAACTAACTGAATTGAACCCGGTTCGGTTCGGTTCGGTTCAGTATGATTTAAAAGTTAGAGTAGGTTGGTTTTGAATGAGATTTATTCAAATCAATTAATTTGGTCTTGATTTCGAGATGGAGTCAAAACTGGCCCAAACCAAACCACGCTTAGACCTACTTGTGATCATCTTTGGCTAGTTTGAAATCATTGCAGACCCCCCAATGAAAAGTTTCGAGTTCTTCCACTATTTTTCAGTAAGATTTGAGATTCCATATTAAAATGTCGACCTAGGTAAGAGGAGTTAACCAAATTCTTATACATTAGTTAATATTATGGTATTAGCATATATGTGATTTGATCATTTAACATGCTCTCACAAAATGAAAACCCGTTTGAAATCACCATTTTTGAATTCATATGCTCATTTGAATTTTAATTTGATCAAAATATTTGTTAGATTTTAATGAGCTCTAATACTACCATGTTAAAATTTAGAGTTCTATCTTACTAGTCAATTTGATCGATTTTAATAGTTTTATATAGAAAAAATCACCACTAATTTCTAACAATTTCTTTAGTGTGAGAAGCCATTTTTTCACCATTGGGATTAGCGGGACAATAAGTGGGTCCCAGTGTGAGAATAAAAAAAAAAAATGCTCCCATTCACCATCAATTAAATTTTTTTGTTTTCCATTATTTTTAAAATACATTTTTTTCTTTTCAATCACACGTTTTTCAATAAAATATTATTACAAGTAAATACAAAATTTTTCTTTATTTTTTTTTACCACATGTTCTTTATCAATATACTATTTCAAAATACATTTTTAAAAAATAAAGGGGCTCAAACATGTTCTAAAATTTCACAGATCAATAACTATGAGATCACTGCGTTACAATCAATGGAAATTGGTTGGTGGCCTAACATAAGAATTTTAGTACTAAATAGCCATAGGCCTATAACTAATCTAATAAAGTAGAATATCCCATATTGAATTAGTTATATAGAGGAAAACTAATATAAAACATGAATCATAAGTTTGGTATCTAAACAGTCAACAACTTAAGAGCTTGGTTGTCTCCCATTTTGGGAGAAAATATAGAGTTTTAAATAGTAATTTTTGAAGAGTCTGTAGTTGAAAGGGAAAAAAAAA